AAGATAAATAAAAATCTAAAAAAAATGAAATTGATAAAAAAATAAAAATTAAAAAAATAAGAAGAAATAATTAAATAAAAAGTGATAAAAAAGTAAAATAAATAAGTAAAGAAACAGTAAAAAAAAATTGTCACTAACCCCGCCATCTGGTTGCCATTCTCCATTGATGTGAAGGGGGCGGGGGGAGTCTCAGCGGGCAGGGGCCCAGAACCTGGCCTTGGGGCGCAGGGAGAGTAAATCCGGCCCTGTCTGTCCCCAGGGACCAGTTTATTCCCCCACTGGGATTAAAGCTCTGCTCCAGTGGACCTGGTTATTCTCCTTTTGGGTAACACCGGTGGACGCAAATCTTCTCCAGTTTGTCCCCAGGGAAATTGATATTGATCATGGTTACAATGCTCTGTACAGACCTGGGGATGCAGGAATAGCCTGCACCCGTGGTCCACTGCTCATGGTTACAATGCCCCCCGGGTGGACGCCGCCTCCCCATCAGCACAAGCCTGCATAGACAAGCCCCTTCGACGATCACTCACCCGGCATTAAAAAGCGCCGCCGACCGCTGCCTGCTGGACACCGCCGCAACACGCCGTCCTCGTCCCCGCCGCTACGATAGCCTCCGGGGAGCCTCAAGGGGAGAGAACCACAGCAAGTGCCGCTCTCAGGGAATCTGCCGCTCCAGGCAAACGCCTTGTTTGCCTCGCGGCAGATACGCCCCTGGCCCCAGCTATCGACTGATCATGATTACAATGCTCCGTACAGACCTGGGGGATGCAGAAATAGCCGTGATCCACTGATCATAGTAACAATGCTTCGTACAGACCTGGGCTTGCAGGAATTGTCAGCAGGAGCCTGCACATTGCACCCATGATCACTGATCACGGTTACAATGCTCCGTACAGAGCTGGGGCTGCAGGAATAGTCTGTGGGACCCTGTGTATTGCACCAGCAATAGACTGATCATGGTTACAATGCTCCATACAGACCCTGGGGCTGCAGGAATAGTCTGCTGGACCCTGTGTGTTGCATCTTCAATCCAGTGATCATGGTTACAATGAGCCGTATAGACCTGGGGGCTTCAGGGTTAGCCTGCAGGACCCTGTGCGTTGCACCCGCGATCCACTGATGGCAGTTGCAATACTTTGCATGCTCCAATGCAAAAACATTTATGAATGCACTTTTTTTTCTTTCGTCAGTGTGGATGCATTTATTATATCTTTGCAAAAAGTGGAATGTTCCTTTAACCTGTTGCCGTCCGCCCGTTGTGAAAAAACGTACGGACGGCACAGTCGCATTGGCGGGTTGTTTTTCTGCACGCGTCCGCCCCCTAGCCCGGCAGAAAAAAACAGCCCGTTCTTTACAGCCGTTACCGGCTGTTTCACATACATACGATCGGCGGCTCTATAGCCTGCCGATTGTATGTATGGGTTGTCTGGCTGCGCGCCCCCCCTCCCCCTCAAATTTCGCTCCTGCCCCCCTCCTGACTCCTCACCTTCAATCCCGGGATCCGCTGCCCCATCTGCGGCCCGGGAGGGTGTCAGGAGGTAAGATGGGAGGGATGTCAGCATCTTCCTCCTTGCTGACCTCCCTCCGTGCTGTGAATGCGGAAGTAATGTGTATTACATCACTTCCGCATTCACCTGTCAGTCATCTGGCTGCTATAGCCAGAGAGAAGAAGCTGATGAAGCAGATCTGTGCTTCATCAGCTTCTTTTGGGGTCCCCAGGTGACATTAGGGGTCTTAGAGACCCCTAATGTCTCCATAAAGAGGACCTGTCAGTGTGCCTATGGCCTGGATGGGAAGGGGGTTTAACACCCCGGACTTCAAGTGGTTAACATGAATTAAAAATATATATATCTGTAATACTACACAAAATAAAAAACTGAGCGAAGAGAATGCCTTCAGTAAAGTGAACATCATACAGCCAGAACTAGTGCCAGGTGGTCGGGCATTTCGTGGCGGTGCCAAGCCAAGTTCAGCATCCTCCTCCGAAGTGACATCCCCGGCAGATGCATGCTCATGCATGCTGAGCCCGGGATCTGGTCCTCGCTCGGCGAGTGGGCGCGGCCAGGGTCGCTGTGTGGGCGTGCTTAGGCAGATGAGGGTGGGGGCGTGTCCGGCTGACGCGCGGTGCGGGGAAGCAGCTGTGTGCAGAGGCGCTTGGAGAGAGCCCAGTGCGCCCGGGGAGACCGGAGACACCGCACAGCCTCCAGCACCCGCACCCGCGCAGCGCCCAGCATGGCTGACCCCGCCGACTGCGAGATTGACGAGAACACCACCCGCTTCGCCAGGAAGGGGGCCCTCCGCCAGAAGAACGTGTACGAGGTGAAGGACCACAAGTTCACTGCGCGCTTCTTCAAGCAGCCCACCTTCTGCAGCCACTGCACCGACTTCATCTGGTGAGATAGGTGGCATGGGGGGGGGGGAGGAGGGGGTGTCACTCACCTGACAGCCTGCTCATCATGTGTATCTCACCCCCAGGTGATCCCATTTCCTCTATCATCTGTAGGGATCACTTGTGCTGCACTTCATTTATGCATTGCACTTGGGTTGCAGATAGCACAGGGCTCTCGCATTGCTATGCACTCTTCGTTGCCCTGTTGCACTCGCATTGCTCGCCCTGCAGTCCAAAGAGACAGTTTAATAATGCAAAAATAAAAAGCGGCGTTCAAAGTGCGTCAGAAATTGTCTTCTGTAAATCTGACAGCTGGAAACTGGACTAATCAAGAAAGGCGATTGGTTACTATGAGTTACTGCGCTTTACATGCCGTCTCAGTTTCACGAGCTGCCATCTGTTCCGGTTGCACCAGGCGGTGTTATGCATGCCCCTTTCGATTGGCACCGTTTTTAAAACTTCAACTTGCAGCATTTTTATTTTATGCGTCTTTCACCCTTGGTGATGACGAGCAGAGTGCTGTAACCAGTAGCAACCGCTTAGGGAAGGAGGAGGATTGGCTGCTGTGGCGCTCATTGCCTTGGTAAGGAAGTCCGATAAGAATGACTTACATTTCACCAATAAGATCTGCAGTGCATGCTGGTGCTGCAGTGCGTGTGAATCCGCAGATGCATGGCTGCACGTTATGGTTAACCCCTCGCTTTGGTGAGAACTTTCACTGACGCCGCACACGTGTTTATTGCGCCGCCGTAACGTTCGGTGATAAGATGCGGCGATGGCGTTTATAGCGCAGTAACTCTTAGCGACCAGTCAGATGTGGCCTTTGTTACACGCAGGGCTGGAGGACCTAAGAGGGCTACTTGTGGCTTTATGATTGTCGCTATCACGCTTTGCCCTATGTAACTCCTAGCAACCAGATCCTGTTGTTCCTCTGCAGAACTGCAGTAACACTTAGCAACCAGGCCCCACCATTTCTCTACAGGACTGTGGTAACCCTTAGCAACCAGATCTCATTATTTCTCTGCAGAACGGTTGCAACCCTTAACTGGAATTATATTCAATAGGCACCCCAGGGACGTCCCAGGCTTCCCTCTTATTATATATTTGGTAACCCTTCGCAACCAGATCCCATCATTCCTCTGTGCAGAACTGTGGTAACCATTAGCAACTTTATCCTGTCATTCCTTTGCAGAGCCACTGTAATTGTTACTAGAATTATATTCAATAGGTACCTAAGGGACATCCTAGGCTTCCCCCTTGTTATATATTTGCTAACCCTTAGCAACCAAATGCCATTGTTCCTCTGTGCAGGACCATGGTAACACTTAGCAAACCAGATCCAATGTTCCTCTCTGCAAAACCATGGTAACCCTTGGCAACCTCATCCCATCGGTCCTCTGTGCAAAACCCTGGTAACAGTTAGCAACCAGATCCAATGTGCCTTTATGCAAAACCATGGTAACCCTTAGCTACCTGATCCCATCGTTTCTCTGTGTAAAACCATGGTAACCCTTAGCAACCTGATCTCCTCATTCCACCGTGCAGAACCATGGTAATCCTAAGCAACCACATCCCACCATTCCTCTGCAGCAGCCTATACAGTGAATGACGCCTTCGCTCTGCGTCCCGTCATTTTACAAAGCCCGGAAAAAAATTCTTGCCGCGGTCCCTGTTGTTTTTTTTTATTTACGAAGCCCGATGCGTTTTCCGCACGGGGAGCGCCGATTCGTAGATGGGATTAGTAGAGCCGTGCGGGGTTTTCTTTCCATTGTCCGTGTTCTACAATTGCTTCTGTGTACTTGTGACTTGTTGACATTGCAGGGGTGCCAGTGCAGTGCAGCCAGATTCCCGCTAAGGGTTAGCCGGCGCGCAAGGGAATTGCAGGCGACGATCACGTTAGCGGGACCCTCGCTTCCTGATAAGATCAGTTCCCCACACACACAGGAAACTAACTGAATCGCTAAACTGATGAAATCCGGTTGCCCTAGATTATAGCTTTATTTAATAAGCCCGGTGGCTTGTAAAATTTGTTAGGCTGCTGTGTTGGGCTTGTGACGGTGTGCGGTAACCCATTCGCACCAGGGCGGTTGCGGATCTGTGCGGTTACTGCGCTGATCTCAAAAGGGAGGTTTTGGGAGTTTTTAATTCGCGTTTCAGCGCTGAAACGCAATTAAAAACACCCCAAAACCACGCTGATCAGTGCTGATTTCCTGTATGGAAACCGCACTGATCAGCGCGGCAAAAATAGAGCAGAGAGCAGTTCCGGCGGGGGGCGGTTTGGAACGTGCGGACCCGTGGGGGTTGCATGAATGGTCCCCATAGCAATGTGTGGAATCGTTCATGTCGGCGGATCTGAACCACCCTGGTGTGGACGGGGTCTTATTTTGACCGGTCTTCTCTAGTTGGTATCAATGGGGCTGGCTCTAACAAAAAAACTTGCTGGATTGGACTGACTGGTTCCTGAATTCAGTATTCATTGGTCTGCCCCTGGGTTATATGTAGCCGCCGGGGTGCGATGTGGTAACACACTCTGAAGTTAACAATGCGCTTTAACGTGCCCAGAAATCAGGCCTCCACCTTTTATTGGCAGCGCATTGCAATGCATGTTAGTGCATTGTCGTGTGGTGCAGCCCACCGTGAGTAAGGTGTATAAGGTTGCCATTCAGAATGCATGGCACCACACTGCACCGTCGCAAGTAGCATGCAGTGCTGTGCATTGCGGTAACGCACTCATGAATTCCTGCACCGCAGTAATGCAAACGGGGCCTAAGGGTGGCCATACGCTGCTCCTATTTTTATTTCGTGCAACCAGCGAGCTCAAGGAAAAAAATAGAGCAGATTCCTCCAACACCACCAGCGTGTCGATTGAGGAATCCCGCTGTTTGCATTGTATTGCCGGCGGCCACTGTCAGGAAACCCGAACAGAGCCGGCGGCTCATTGGCTGCCGGCTCTGGCCGTACGAAGATTTTCCAGCCATCTCCTTCAATTAGCTGATCGAGGAATGCCGACTGAAGAGGTGCAGACAGCGGCACCCACAGTTTGGCTACCCCAGTCTATAGGTCTATGAATAAGGTGCCAGCTATGGGTAATAAAAGCAGAACCCCAGCAAAAGAAACACAAAAATCAACATAGAAATAAATAGCCCATTTAAAAATAAAATAAAATATGGCCTTTGCTGCAATCTTCACCTTCAGTCCAGAGATTCCCCTGGACAATGTGTTCGTGGATCTGTGTGTCATGGTGCATTGAAGGGTCAGGTGCATTGCTTACAGTGTTGACATGTGTAGGAATGGGATGACCCCCAGTGACGCATGTACAGTGCATGGCGGGGGGCTCATTAGTTACCAGTGTGTTAGGCTGATTTTACACCTGTGCAGTAACTCAATTGCAGTGTATTTCTCTGTTAGCGGAGGTCTCCTTTTAAAGTGCACCTGATGCGTGCTGATACAAATCTGACCTGTGGCACTCTTTAAACGCAGAGGAGGACTACCTATATTTCTGACAGGTGGCAACTTCAGGGCCACCACTGCTCCCTATCACCTCCGGGTGTGTGAGATGGTGTGTCCCCGCTGCTCCCTGTCACCTCCGGGTGTGTGAGATGGTGTGTCCCCGCTGCTCCCTGTCACCTCCGGGTGTGTGAGATGGTGTGTCACCGCTGCTCCCTGTAACTTCCGGGTGTGTGAGATGTGTCCCCGCTGCTCCCTGTCACTCACGGGTGTGTGAGATGGTGTGTCCCCGCTGCTCCCTGTCACTCCCGGGTGTGTGAGATCGCGTGTCCCCGCTGCTCCCTGTCACTTCCGGGTGTGTGAGATGATGTGTCCCCGCTGCTCCCTGTCACGTCCGGGTGTGTGCGATGGTGTGTCCCCGCTGCTCCCTGTCACTTCCGGGTGTGAGATGATGTGTCCCCGCTGCTCCCTGTCACGTCCGGGTGTGTGCGATGGTGTGTCCCCGCTGCTCCCTGTCACTTCCGGGTGTGAGATGATGTGTCCCCGCTGCTCCCTGTCACGTCCGGGTGTGTGCGATGGTGTGTCCCCGCTGCTCCCTGTCACTTCCGGGTGTGAGATGATGTGTCCCCGCTGCTCCCTGTCACGTCCGGGTGTGTGCGATGGTGTGTCCCCGCTGCTCCCTGTCACTTCCGGGTGTGAGATGATGTGTCCCCGCTGCTCCCTGTCACGTCCGGGTGTGTGCGATGGTGTGTCCCCGCTGCTCCCTGTCACTTCCGGGTGTGAGATGATGTGTCCCCGCTGCTCCCTGTCACGTCCGGGTGTGTGCGATGGTGTGTCCCCGCTGCTCCCTGTCACTTCCGGGTGTGAGATGATGTGTCCCCGCTGCTCCCTGTCACGTCCGGGTGTGTGCGATGGTGTGTCCCCGCTGCTCCCTGTCACTTCCGGGTGTGAGATGATGTGTCCCCGCTGCTCCCTGTCACGTCCGGGTGTGTGCGATGGTGTGTCCCCGCTGCTCCCTGTCACTTCCGGGTGTGAGATGATGTGTCCCCGCTGCTCCCTGTCACGTCCGGGTGTGTGCGATGGTGTGTCCCCGCTGCTCCCTGTCACTTCCGGGTGTGAGATGATGTGTCCCCGCTGCTCCCTGTCACGTCCGGGTGTGTGCGATGGTGTGTCCCCGCTGCTCCCTGTCACTTCCGGGTGTGAGATGATGTGTCCCCGCTGCTCCCTGTCACGTCCGGGTGTGTGCGATGGTGTGTCCCCGCTGCTCCCTGTCACTTCCGGGTGTGAGATGATGTGTCCCCGCTGCTCCCTGTCACGTCCGGGTGTGTGCGATGGTGTGTCCCCGCTGCTCCCTGTCACTTCCGGGTGTGAGATGATGTGTCCCCGCTGCTCCCTGTCACGTCCGGGTGTGTGCGATGGTGTGTCCCCGCTGCTCCCTGTCACTTCCGGGTGTGAGATGATGTGTCCCCGCTGCTCCCTGTCACGTCCGGGTGTGTGCGATGGTGTGTCCCCGCTGCTCCCTGTCACTTCCGGGTGTGAGATGATGTGTCCCCGCTG